AAATTAATCATTACTGTAAAACAAATGTTTATACTTCCATGATGCCATGAATATCAAATTACAAATAAGAAGCAAAATATGTGGCAAAAGTTGATGTGTACTATATGAGGAAATGTATGTTTGGTTCAGATAATCTTTACAATGCTCTATTTATCTTTTAGCAGCATTATCAATAATTTATTATTTTTTAAAAGGAAAATATTTTACTACAGATGATAAAACATTCACAAAAAACTTATCATTGTTCACTTATTGTTTCTTTAGTTTTAATAGGTCAATTATAACTATCAAAAACTCTATATGCATAAAAAATATGCAGAGGCTCTTGTCTTTCTTGGCAGAATGCTATATCAAGCATCACTCCACCATGTGTTGGCTGCCATGTTAACATTGGCCCTGTGTCTCTCTCTATCTCTGTGGCTGTTTAGAGGTGCTTCTGTTTTTATCTTACCAAAGGAACATAATGCAGTGTTTAGTTTCCCTATTTGTGTTTTCTCTTTATTTTCATCCTCTTGGCCATGTTGCATGCATTTGACTTTGTGCATACTTTGGCATTGTGTGCTGAAAAGCTACTTCCTGTTAAATTATACATTTGTAGGGTACTATGTGAATACGTCTTGTTGCTTTCTTGATCTTGTGATTGTTAGCTATATGTGATGATTTTTTTCTAATGTGGCTGATAATTTCTATGAGAATATGAACAAACTGATGAATAAGTGGCAGTGGAGGAATTTTGGAAAGAACTGACTTTATTTTCTTTAATAATTTTAATCTCTCACTTCATTCTAAATAACAATTAGAATGATAATGACCTGGTAAAATTTTATAATTTTGCAACTGATTTCCTTTGGCAGGGATGAAATTTCAAGTTGATCAGTTTGTCCATGCATTTTCATGTATAATTGTGGCTGAGAGCTAGATGCATTATAATACCATCAAATAATATGGTTTCTCTGCCTGATTTCTATTTTTGAAATTGTTTGTTGTTCAGATAGATCCTTCTTTTGAGGAATGCTTTTCATGAAAGACCATGTCTGAATATTTTGTGTCTTTATATCCATAATTTCTTTGCATGAAATTTATATGAATAACAATACAACTTTTTTGTGACTTATGGCCTTATTTTTCCCACTTCTATATGAGTTCCTAATACACCACATCAGTGTATTCTTATTGGTTTAATAATAGTTTGTGTGCTGTTGCCGTTCTTCATGTGCTATTGAATTTTGGTGAATTTATTTCACTTACTTCTTATATGAATGAAATGTCTTTGATTTCCACATTATTGATCTGGTTTATGTTTTGTGTAAATAATGACTATTAAACTTGTTGATATTGAAATCTTGTACAAAACCACACCTACTATTTAAACTGAACATGTCTATTTACCCTTTCCAAATTAAACAAAAATATTTTATCAATATTTATCTCAATTTTTAATGTGTAAAGATGAAGAACATTTATGAGATGCAAGGAGCCCAGATAAAATTCTTAATTTTTACCTCAGAAACCACTGGTACTAATGCAATGGAATTGTACTAATGCAATGGAATCATAAGAAATTAAGTTCAGAAAAACTGGTCAGATTTCAGAACTTTGAATCAAGTTAAATTTCAAAAATAAATATAAGGGAACTATTATGGAAAAAGGTGCTTTTAAAAAACATTTGAAATATTGTAAATTTTTTATTATTTAAAAACTTGTAAGTGGCAATTCAGGATATTCCATGATTAAAAAAGGAAGTCAAAGCGTATTTTGAACGTGCACTTTAGCCAATGTAAGGTGTCTAGGACGGGTGACATCCTACCCTACAGAAATGAAGAATAGCAGGTATGATGTCATAAACAGTAATAAGATTGCTGGTGAGAAGTTTCTAAAGCTAGTGAGATTCAAGGTGTGTGTTTTTGACAAGGTTGCATCCAGATTGGCCTGATGAATACTGTGGGGTAATAAACACTAATAATTTGCATTATGGACTTTTCATATTTAATTTTTTTCCTTTTCACAACAATTAACTTTGTACATTCAGCATACAATTAAATGAAATTCAGATTTAGAAAACACTACATAATTTTCAACCAAGTAGTGACTTAAGTATTTTGGGGGTGGGGTGGGTGGATTGACCCCCCTCATCTCCCTCAGGGTACAGCCTTGAGTTTCGAGTTCCACTGTGTTAGTAGTAAATTTCTCTTAACACAATACGACCTGCCTAACCTCACACTATACCTCAGATCTGTGGGTTTGGTCAGAGCGTGATAACTGCAAAATCACATTTAGGTGCAAGTCTGGCTGTTCTGTCCAATTACATTTTTAAATAGATTGAAAAGTAACTTGGTAATATTCAGATAAGTAATACAGAAAACAAAATTTAAGAAAGAGAACTGCTAACCAAAGAACTGCTTTGGACATATTATGTCCAAAATGATCCATACATTGTCAGACATCTTCTTCGTGATTAAAATGCAAATTCGCCATATTTTAAACTTCAGCTGTAATATACACAAATAGTACTTATAAATGTTCTTTGTAAATAAATATCAAATATTAGCTCAGTGTTACAAAGTATTGTAAATCTCAATTTACAAGTGGTCCAACCAGAACTTTAAAATGGAATAAAGCAAATCGTATCTCCAATTAACAAGATATGTTGTCATTATTAATTGTTTTATAATTAAATACTGTTATTTTATTTTCTCACAAGAGTTATGAATATTTATGAAGATATTGTGAATAAATAGGACAAAACATTTGTACATATTATTTGTCTGTTTATTTCCTATTGACTGAACAATTTTCTTTTCGGTTTTTATGTTATTCAACCACAAATACTCAAATAATTCTACAGTAATTTCAGTGCATGCCTGACTGAAAAATTCTTATATTTCACATTAGCCTTCTTAACACAGAAAATCCGTTGTTGGAGTGAGCTTATTGTGAAACAATGGTCTTCTAGAAATCAATTTTATAATTTCTGAAAAATAATACATTTCTTTGGTAATTTTTTTCCCTTGGATTGGATATACGCTTTCACGAATGTTTAATTTTCTTTTTTGTTCCTTTCTTAAAGTTTCTGAACCAAATTACCAAATTTATGTAAATCGTTTATAATCTGTCATCGTCAATATCTGTCTTCTTTTTATCGTGAATATCTACTACTTTACACAATAAACGTATATATTTCTCCTTGTTATTTTTCCATGTTCTACATCGAAGTTTTTAGTGAATGCTTTTTAAAACAAATTTTAATAAAGAAGAGTGTTCTCATTCTTAAACACATTTGAAGTCATAATGTAAATCAACCATTTGTGTTTGCACACAAATAGTTGAAGGGATACATATATAAGACCCTCTTTGATGACTTTGAATGTGCAGTTACAAATATTGAACTTGGTAATTATTGAACCAGTTTTCTGAACAGCTTTAGTGAAAAGAGTTGTATAATGAGTGTTGCTTGTGATTGGTTGTTGTTATTGTTGTTGTTCTTGTTCTTGTTGTGGTTGTTGTTGCATGTTTTTACAAACCTCCATATTCTGCAGTCCAGTTGAGATCACCATGTGACACTTGGAATGCAACTTTGCCCTCAGAAATATGGAGAAACATCTCCATATCTCTTGATCTAATTTAACAGATATTTGATGTTTTCAAAGTATACTGGGCTCCTTGCTAGTTTATTAACATACCTACAGTGGAATTTTAATACATATCAAATTAACTTCACATCCATACAGCAATTATCCAAGACTAACTAGAAACTAATTGCTGTCTATGTGGAACTAGCTTGCAACTTTCAAGCCTATATCATCCTTCATCAGTCATCTTAAATGTATAATATCACAAGTAATATTTATAAATAACTAATTATGAATGTATTTTTATTATTTAAATATTTATGTACTTGGGTTTACTGTGAAGCTAACTAAACTTTCGTATCTTAAAGATTGCTGTGAAATAACATGGTTCATATTGATTCTTATGGATAAAATATATATGCATGTTAATTGATTTGATATTCACACTTTTAACTATCCTCTGAGTAATTAATAGAAAATAACACTAACACAAAAATAATACCTATAAATAATGAATTAAAATACGTCTATTTCCAGTTATTCAAAACCATTCTATTTTAAAATTATAGTTTTGATAAAAGTCAAATAAAAGCTTGTATAAAGCATTTCATAATAAAATTCATGTGTCCATGTCTGTTTGGTTTGCAATATTTAGCTTACGTTCTCCTAGAGACTGTAACTTTCAATTTTAGGTGGCATGACATAATGCTGCTCTGCTCTTTGCATTTTGGATTGTCAAAAGGGACTTTGCTGATGAGGATATGTGTTTTCTTCTCCCACTGTGAATCTATTTTTCTATGTTAACTTCATCGTAAACCCAGTATCATTGAAAACAGATTTAAATTACTCTAGAACAGTCAATTGACAGAGCATTATTACCTCTAAATAAGACACTAAGCTTTCCATCATGGTGGATTTTCCTCTTTCCTTTCCATAATCCTATCTGAGTTATATCAATCCTTATACCAAAATTAAAAGTATGGTTTTACATATATTGTATTTAGTTTTCTCTTAACTGTTTGCAGCATGAATATATATATATATATTTAAACTGTTTTTGATTGAACCTTATAGAATTTTTGTTGATATATTATTTTTAATAATGTATGTAAAAAGTATATTTAATGCAAAGCACTGGGAAAACACTATGCTTATGATCTTGACATATCACATAACTGGTATAGTAAATTTGTGTATATTTTCAAATATATGTAACTTTTCAAAAATGTTGTTACATTCTTTCTCTGCAGTATATTAAATCAATAATCCCTTTGTAGTTAATTATATCTGACCCTAATAATTATAGATATGTTAAGAATAAGTATTGAATTTTCCCTGTGTGTTCAAAGTTATATGAAAGACAGTTGACTGTGATACGGACTTCTTTGTTGTCTCGTTCCGGGGACGGCTCTCTCTTTACTGGCATACTAGGGCTTGGACATTCCCATCTACATCTGGTATGACAGCTATCCTACACACAGTGGGGAGGGCTATGAGGGACGAGTGTCACGTGTTTCACCGGACTCGCCATATGGACTCGCCTCCCTCAACCTGACCAATATTCGTGAGTCAGATCAGGGATGGTATGAATGCAAGGTGGTGTTCCTCAATCGCTCACCTAATCAGCACAAGAATGGTACCTGGTTCCACCTTGATGTCCACGGTAAGTATTACATTTCACAATTCTTGTCAGCAAGTTTGATTTAAAGAAGTTATCATTTTGTCTCTGTAATTTGTAATATTAAAAATTCATTTACAAACACATTTAGTAAAGATTTATATTATTTTACAGCACCTCCACGCTTCAGTGTTACACCTGAAGATGTTATCTACGTTAATTTGGGTGATGCGATAATTCTAAATTGCCAGGCCGAGGGCACTCCCACTCCGGAGATCCTGTGGTATAAAGATGCCAATCCAGTGGAGCCCTCGGCCACTATTGGCATCTTTAATGATGGCACAGAGCTGCGCATTTCGAACATCAGACATGAAGACATTGGTGATTACACATGCATAGCTCGCAATGGTGAAGGACAGATATCCCATACAGCACGTGTCATAATAGCTGGTAAATATTATATATTCCTCTATAATAAATCTCATATGACTTATGATGATGATTTATTACATCAAAAACGACAATTTATATGTGTATGACATTTGGAGAAGAATAAACAGTTACTGTCCAGAAGCAAACAAAGTTCTGTCTCTGCATTTGCACTAAGAATAGCTGAGAAAATGGACAAAAACTATGATTGAGATGGGAATTTTATTACTTTCTTTATTAATGATTATGATCTTATAGAAAGATATCATCATCACTCATATTGAAAAAACTTCATATTTTCTGTATCTTTGTATACCTCACAGATTGTGCTTATGACATATTCATGTTTTGAATTATAGTATTCATTATGAATTGTGTCATCTACTTTGTGGTTATTCTTTATCATAGTCTTAAAAATGGAAGTCACGCATAGCTAATACTGAAAATCATTTCAGGTGGAGCTGTTATCATGGTACCACCCACAAATCAAACCAAGCTTGAAGGAGAGAAAGTACAGTTTTCTTGTGAGGCCAAAGCTCTTCCAGGCAATGTAACTGTCAAGTGGTATCGTGAAGGTGCTCCAGTGAAGGAAGTGTCATCGCTTGAGACGAGAGTTACTATTAGGCGAGATGGTTCACTCATTGTCAATCCTGTGAGTGCTGATGATTCAGGCCAATACCTCTGTGAAGTGACTAATGGCATAGGAGAACCTCAGTCTGCTTCAGCATTTCTCAATGTTGAATGTATGTACTAAAAAATTATATTTTTTAATCTGACTTGATTTTTGTAATATTATCTAGATCAGCCCTGTTCACTAGATTGCCCCAGTAAAGCATCACTTGCTCACGAGCAGCAGCTTTCAAGATGCCTTCACATATTGGGGGAGGTTAGTGTGAGTACTGATTGTAGGGAAATGGTGAGTGGGAGGTCTTCTGCTCATGTCTGCTTTTTCTTGAGTCACTGATGCACCAATTTAGACATTCAAATTGTCTTCTAGACAATGTAGGCTGAGAAGTATGGGAGAAAGATAAAAAATGTTATGTAATACAATCAGCCCATGAGTTTAAGTGCTGTATGGAATTAACAAGGAAACTACTGCAATAAGCATGAAATATTAATGTAAGCGCAATAGATTATTCAAGAAATTGTTCATGAATGGCCAAAATAACTTTCCTTGTTAATAGAAAATGGTGGACAAGAATTTTAATAATTAACTTTCCACATTGGCCGAGAAGTGGATCCTATAATTTTTTTTTTGACTGTTATTGGGAATTACTGTACCAATGATTAAATCAATTACATTTGTTAATTAAATTATGTCATTAAATTCTTACTTTCATTCCCTTTGTAGTATGTTTTATTTATTGAATAGGAAACCGGCAAATGTAAATAAAAGTGTTTAATGGAAAATTGGGTTCAGAGGTGACCAGAAATCTACTCTTGAAGTTCTCCTCTTGTTTAAGGCTACGCGCATCTATGTAAATGACTGTTTTTTTACCACTATTCATGTATCATAGACCCCCTTAAAATCTGTTGTTAAGTGTCAGTTTCTCTGCCATATTGTGGTCAGTAAGGTGCTAAGTGCATGTTCTACAGTGTGAAAGGGTATGTGCCTGTATACATGCACCAGAATATGTCCTCAACAGGGCTGGTTTAGATCATTTATTTTTTTTATATTACCAGTAGTGCATTTAGTTATTACATGCCATGAAACTGTTTGACTAAATAAGTTATAATGAAATTGTGCAGTTCCAGCTAAGGTGACATTCACACCAACTGTGCAGTACCTTCCATTCAGATTAGCAGGTGTAGTTCAATGCTACATAAAAGCCAACCCTCCTCTGCAGTATGTGACCTGGACCAAGGACAAGCGTTTGCTTGAGCCCTATCAAACCAAAGACATAGTTATCATGAATAATGGCTCCTTACTTTTTACCAGAGTGAGTATTCAACCAAATTATATAATATGTGATGTTAATGCAGTTTGAATTTTTGCTTTCTTTGTTCATAATTATTGTTTATATTCAGGTTATTTAATGTCAAATAGAAGAGAATGTGAATAAATATCATTGATAATTTTACACCAGGCCAATTTTTCAAATGTAAAGTTATTTCTTTAATGAGAATACATGATATTTTGACATTTTTTGGTATTACTCTTAATGTTTCTAGAATGGCAAAAACACATAATTTTCCATGTCAGTTATGACTGGTAAAAAAATTTTATTTCTTATCTTTTTATATATTTATAAATATATAAAGATAAATTATATTTATCTTTTACTAGAACCATGTGGTTCCAACTCAATTTTTGGAAATTTTTTAGGGGGAGCTTTGACATTTCTGTACTAAACTAATCTTAATATGTACCATTGCGGACAAGATAAATATATAAGATAAAGGGTTTTAATGAAAGAAACAGGCTTTGAAAAAGCTTATTTTATTAAAAAATAACATTATTTCTTTCTAAGTTTGACAAAATTAAGGAAAAATAGTTGGAGCTAGAACAATGATATGTACTTATATATTTTAACAATGTAATGTTATAACTCCTTTCAAGATCTGCTTTGTAAAAAATTAATGCTTAGTAACCTAATTTTTTAGCACCAAATCCTAATATATTTCATTTACACCTGAAAATATTTATACAAGGACTTTATATCTTGAGATTCAGATACATATGTAACTGATTTGACAGTGATTTACTTTGGTTTGGGCAGCGGACCAACATAATATATTTTGTTAGATCTTCTTGGCTTGGATTTCAAGAAATTGGTTACTAGAGTATGTGTCATCAGAGAATGAAAATCTGTAATTATCTTCTTCAGAGCCTCTCACGTAGCATACAATATGTTTCACCTTAGTTCTAAAGTAATCTTCTGTTGTGACTTGCCTCTCATTGGCTGGTTTACTCACACCATAATGTAATTGGCTATCATTTGTTGAATGAGTATGAACAATTTGGAATGAACCATAAGCTGTAAAATGGAATAAGAGCAAAATGTACAAGTAATTTGTAACCCATTATGATCATAAAGCATGCATTTTTAATATAAAACTGTAACAGGAAAGGAGTTGGAACAACAAGGAACATGAAAACCAGATTTTGTAAAAAAGGGTAATTACAGATGACATTGAATTGGCAAAATAAACATCATCAAGCCCATAGTCTGATCATATTAATGAGAAAAACTTAAACTATGGCCTTTAATTCACTAGGAAACAAAATAGCTGTCAATGACAGGGCAACAATAGAATAATAATAATAGAATAGATCTCATTTCCATGGCTGGGGACATATTGTAAGACAAAAAAGGGCATACACAAAAATGTATATGTGCAATGATTATATAGCATAGAAGATAATTCAAGTGAAGATCAAGTAAAAAACCAAATAAACATTTTGTAAGGTGTAGGCAATTCCCATTTTATGCTGAATGTTGAGAAACAAGAAACTAAAACAATGAGAAACATTGTAATTTTTTTTTTGGGGGGGGGTTAGTTAAAGGTTTCACCAGAGCAAACAAAATTAGAAATGAACCAATAAAGGACAATGCAATAAACAAGCAATAATCAACAAACAGGGAATGCAGTTAATAATCAAACAGGATGTAGAATAAAGAGAAATGGTTAGAGCATGTCCTTGTATGCCCTCCCAAAGGATTTCAACACAAGTAATGCACATTGGGCAAATGAAGAGAGGGAAAATCAAGGAAGAGATAGTGAGATTTAAATTGGCCATAGACCTAGTAGTGACAAGGCGGAGAAAGAGGAAGAAAATTGTGAAGTATTAAACTATTAGGAGATACCAGCTTTTTTAATCATAATCTTTTTCAGCTCTCATATTTTAATTGCATGGAGAAAAATTAAACATGTGTGTTATTTTGTAGGTCAAGGAGGAACATCAGGGCCGGTACACATGCACTCCATATAATGCACAAGGAACCCAAGGTTCATCTGGAGCAATGGAAGTTTTGGTGAGAAAACCACCTGTATTTACTGTTGAACCTGATAATTTGTACCAACGAAAAGTGGGTGATACAGTTGAGATGCACTGTGATGCCCAGGAGGCAGAAGGGACCCAAAAGCCAACAATTCAATGGCAACGAGTAAGTATTATTGTTTTTTGTTTTTTTATGAACTTATTTGGAATTTCAAATTTGTTTGAAATTAGATTTGATAATCACAAGCATACAAACATTATCATTAAAAACTTATGTAGTAACTTTGGTATATTTTCTGAAATTCTGTACATATCATGGCTCTGTAACTGAAATGTATGAACTGAATGAGTACTAAGGATATTGAAAGTTTTTTCTTTTCTGTTTATATGATTTCACCATCCTTTTCATTGTTTTGTGTTGTTTTTTTATTTTGCAATTCAAATTGTTTCAAACATCAGTATGTGAGAAAACTAATATATTCATGTTGTTTTCATGACGGAAAACCGAGAAAGATGTTCCCTTTTCAAAAATTAACTTTTATCTTCCCAAACATTTTTTTTTTAAAATATATGTTTCATTAGTTAGTTTCATTTGTACTGTACTAGCGCATCTCACATTGTATTGATATTAATTGATAACATGAATGGGTGTCATAATACAATGAATGATCTCAGGTCAAACTTGAATTAAGACTAAATTCTAATGAGTAGAATCTGAATATTATGAAATATTCCTATATTGTATTATTAAAGATAATGAATAAACGACTGACTTGTTATGTTCATGTCAAGGTTTGAGTGCTCTATAGAGCAAAGATAATTTTGCTTATTTCTGTCTACAAATTCCTATTAAATTAATTTGCTAAGCTAACTTTCTAGTCTATCAAATCTGAATCAGTTTCTGTGATGGTACACATGGTGATACACTTCTCTGTGTTTCTCAAAGATTTTCATTCTTTTATTTACTACAAATTACGAATAACCATTATTTATTTATTTATACATTATAGAGCCAATTGGTTATACCCATTTATGAAATGTATATTTTGAGATACTTAATGAAGGTAAATGAGACCAGGAATTATCATAATCAGAGACACAATATAAAAAAGGAAAATAATAAGTGCCTGGTTTTATGAGCAATCAATGATTTATTCTTAATGGCTACAGAGATTCAATGTATACTGAAATTCTTGTAGTATAATCATAATATTAAGTATTAATGTGAATTTATTCATTTGAACTTGGTTTCATTATATTAAGTACAACAACAAAAAAAATTGCCCAATGAGGTTTTTAATAAATTGCTGTCCCTATTACACTGACCATGGTTGAAAGATTTATTTCATTTAATGGCATGACATATGTAAAAAAATATGTTCATGTTCACATATATTGTGTTCTTGGTAGACACGTGTTGCCTTACAGTGGCAGTAGTTATTTGGAAATTATATATACATTTTTAATTTCTATTTCAGAACCATTTTATATATTTTTAGCCCTCAATTTCACCCAACAATTTTGGAGTTTTTTAGCGCTTGACTCTGATTTCTCACTAATCAGACACTATTTCCATGTGTTTTTCAAATTTTGCTGAAGTATATTGTTATATTGGGTCACAAATGTATGTAAATAGATTTATACTGTCAATATGTCCTTTTCAGGCAAAAAAATGATTTGACGAATAAAAAAATGATTTGATAACTAACATATTTCCTCTCTTAAATTCATTTGCTGTTTCAATGGCTGTAGATGCCTTTCTCAATTAGTAAATCTTGGAATTTCAGTCTCTCTATATTCTGTTTTGACAAGGCAGTATATTGACAAAATTAATTTTGCAGAGAGATGGCACTCCATTGCAACTTAATCGTGCCAGAAAGTATGGAGGTAACATCACTATTGAAGGATTACGTCGCACAGACTTTGGCTATTATCAGTGTGTAGCATCAAATGAAGTAGCAACCATTGTGACTGCCACTCAGTTGGTGGTGGAAGGTACTCAGCCTCATGCACCTTACAACCTAACTGGGAATGCTAGTGAATTAGCTGTAACACTGCAATGGTTGCCTGGTTACAGTGGTGGACCTGATTACAAACAAGATTACACAATATGGTAAGTATTTTACAAATTTCCTTTTGTTTACGTAATAGACTAGATTACTATTCATAAAATTTTGAATTTCTTTCTGACACAATGGGAATCACTATTTTTTCTTAAACAGTTTTCTCTCAAAATAAAATTAGCTTGTCAGAAATATAGACAAGACTATCTTATCACATTTTTTAAATATTATGCCATTATTAAAAAGTTCTATAATCTATGATACATTTTTATTTCAGTGTTTGTGATGTCAAAATATGTTACTGATTAAATGTTTCAGTTTTGTACTATAGATAGTCTTTGTGTTTATGTATATGTAATATAATATGGTTCCAATTCTGTACCCCTTATTTATTAATATAATTATTCCATTGACATGTAATGTTGAAAACTCTTGCTTTCTGATATAAATTGGGTTTGAGTGCATCAGTAGTTCCTTGATAGAAGTGGGTGTTATTACCCTTGTGTTGTAGCATGCTTAGCTTTCCCACCCCTCATGAATCTCCTTTCCTAGTGTCATTCCTAGTTGATTCGAGTGACACAGAGGCTTGCATGTGAGACAAGTACCTACTACAGCTAGGCCAGCGGACTTCATTGATCTCTTAGTTGTGCTCATCTCATGGGGTACGTTCCCAGTACCTCATGTAGCAGTATGTGCTACTAGACCCTAATTCCTTGCCCTGACTGGTAACTGTAAGTGTAACTGAGGAATTGGCTGTTTTCACCTCAATAAGTGGTACAGGTAACAAGATAGGCCTGTGACCTACCTCAGCTATATTTGTAAAGGTTTAAGACTGAAAAGAGTTAAAGACTACCCCGGTATGATGATTAGGAAGCATAAGGGGGCTCCTCACTGGCAAAAATTCCGGGGGAGCGAGTGATGGCAGGAATCCCTGGTAGGTCCTCCAGGTGCCAACAGATGGCACCTGGGAAGGGGATCAGGCAATATAAAATGTAAAATTCCTAAAATCATAAAAACAAAAAGCATATTGAAATCATATTTTCATTTCATTACAATATAATGTTATAATATTATAATACAACATTATACACAATATTATAAACATTATAATAATTAATATATTAACAACATTAAAAACAATATTTTGATATTATCAAAATATTATTGAAGGAACCAATTTGATAAATTAGTAACAGTAATTATAGAGGAACAAAAGTGATGAAGTCCAATAGACTTATTAATTGCTTTGTCTGATAGATAACAGTGAAGATAATGATAAAAAAGAAATAGAGGAAATTTGTAAATGTAGCGTCTTTTTTGTATTTAATAAAATTTAAAAGATACAAAAATGCAAACCTACAAATGTATTTTCTTTTTAATATTGCAAAGTTAATAATAGATCTATAAATTCTCGAACATTAGCCATTAAATATATTTATTTACTGCTCTGAGTTAAAGAATATCAACCAATTTTTCACATTTGTCATTGTGATGACAAGATTATATATCTGAATCATGTGTTATGTTACTAAGTAATACATTTTTGTTATGCTTAATAAGTTTATATATTTTCTTTTAGTAACAGAAAGTTGGTTGAACATTTTGGAACCTTTTTGGCCTTTTTTAGAATGTCTAATTTACATTAGGGGAGACTAATATAAGAAATGTTTCTTTAGTTTCAAAGAAGATACATTATGGTAGAGATTTATAATTAAAGGGTTTCGAAATAAAATTCATGGAACTGTAACCTTAGTTATGTTTTAAGATTGTCTTTATATTCCCCAAGTTTTATATTGTTTTGTTATAAGAATTGAAGCATTAACTTGCCTGGTGGACTAACTTGTCTTCCAGATATTAAGAATGCCACATCTTTTAATTTGGCCATACAAGTATTGTGTTAAATGTTATTTTTCCAACTAGTGGAAAAATTAATTTTAATTGAGTAGAGAATAAGTCACATTTTTTAGAACTATGGCTGATTGCATCATTGAATGGATTGAAACTGAAAACAATTATCCTTGAAATGAAGAACAACTCTGAAGTATAGACATTATTATCTGGATTTCAATAAATAATTATATAATACACTTGGATACATCTACAAAGTTCAGAAAATTTTTTATCAAAATGTGCAAGGTGTTGCCCATTTTCTCTAAACAAGGATTTGTCAAGATGTAATTTATATCTGTTATATTATGCTAACATACCGTACCTAAAATGATGAAATACTTGGAACATGAAAAATTATGTCATAGAGAAAAACAACTCCTACATGCCATTTCTCCTTTGATAGTAATGAACATTGAGGAAAGAAGCACACAAAACCAAATAATGACACTAGTATGTCAAAGTTATTATTTTGCATGATTTGAAACACTTGATTACTTACATTTCTTACAAGAAATATAAATTATATTGCTACTCAAATACTGGTCTCCACTAAAAGAATTCTAGAAGTTCAGAAAGATTTATGTATTTCTGTACATAATATAAAATCTATGTAATTCCAGAAATGGGATAAAGATGTAGAGATGTAAAGATGTCTTAGTACCTACAGGCTGTAAAATGCCTTGTTTGATTCAGGATAATTGAGATCCCATAAAAAATTAGAATTTAACATTTATGTAATTGTTTTGTTATCAGGTGCGTATATTCAGGTGTGTTACAAGTTCTCAATTGAAAATTCATTGACTTGCAGGATCTATCTTTGAATCCTGATGGTGACAGATATTTGGCCACAGCTAAGTAACTGTGTAAAGATTTGCTGTTGTCCCTCTCTCTTCACATTTCCAAATCCGAGTTAACATTGTGAGGTCACATTAACAAAATATATACAAGCCATTAAGAATATATCCCAATAATCTTCATCTCTGTATTCAGCACTCTGTATAAGATAAAGTAATCTTATAAAGACTACGTAGTTTCTTGCAAAGTAATAATATCTGTAATAAATCAAAACACAGTTCCAAGAAAGGTATTTCCATCATTTCTGCTGTTCAGTTCAGTCTTAAATTCCTAGGAAATAAGGAATCAGACAGAAATGTAATAAGTGTATTCATTGACCTCTCAAAGACATTTGATGGTGCATCTCACTTTGATGAGATGGGAAACAAAAAAAAACCTAGACCATTGTTGAATGGGTGCAGTACATGATCTCATAAGTTCATACTTCACAGAACATAAATAGTGTGCAGAAATGTTCAGGTTAACTGAAAATGTATTATCTGAAGTTGAATCTAATTTTGATAATGTATTGTGTACTATGTAGGAATTGTGTCACACCTTTGCCAGTTCTGATACATGTGAATGATGTTTCAAGATCCTTTAATTCTCTGTAAATTTTTAAGCAGATGATACAACTTTAATTAGTAGGTTTTGTGCTCCGTTTAAATAATTTAGAAATTAATATCACTGAATCTTTGAATACATTACGAAGTTACTTGAAGTTAAATGTATTAAAATTAAATGCTGACTGTAAAACTGTATCAATCATTTTTAATCTTCATCAAAACATTAAAGTGGAAGAGATAATGAAGTTAATTAAATAGACTAACATACAGTTTTAAGAATGTACTTGCTAAAACTTAACTTAAACATTTGGATACCATCTTAAGATCATGAACATCTTTGAAATATAAAATTGGGAAGAGACATCAAAAGAAGTGATTTAAATGCAAGTACCTTGGTGGAATTTTGGTTTAAGCCACAGCAATTTGTTATTAAGTTATTAGTTAACAAGATAGATTAAGAAAGGTTGTTACATTGCAGCCTTTCATCAAATAAGCCAAATACTCCGACAAACATGAAAAGTTATGGCAGCCACAGAGATGATGGTGGTGGCTGTGGCAGTGGTTGGAGCAGTAGGATAGTTGGTTAATATAATAGATGGCTGTGGTAATAGTGGTTTGAAGCAATGTACTTCTTGAGCCTTTTCATTAGGAATGAAAGTGCGTGCTCATGGGAGGCTCCTCTCCTCTTCCCATTCAGGGGCTTGTTCATAATTCTTGTTTCCCATGCAGTTTTGTGAGCAACATGTATGCCTTTCAGTCTGAATACATGAGAAGTAAATTTCATTGTTATAATGTTTTACTGAAAGTGTACTTAGCAAAAACAAATGAAGCTGTAGTAAAACTACTGTATACAAGTGAAAATATTTGGGAGGACATGTCCCCCTGTGCCTCACACCTGTGCTTAAGATACTTAACCAGATACTTAAAAAGGACGTAGAGAAGGAAAAGAAGGACAAGGAGAAAGAGAAAAGGGAAGAGGAGGAGAATAAAGAAGTTGAGGAGAAGGAAAAGATGAGAGAAGAAGGAAGAAGAGGAGAAGGAGAATGAGAAGAAAGAAGGAAATGAAGAAATGAGATGAACCTCCACCTCTTCTTCATCTTCTGTTTTTTCTCCTCTTTCATCTCGTATAACTCTTTCTTCTTCTCCTTCTTCTTGTTCTTGTTGTTGTTGTTGTTCTTCTTCTTCTTCTTTATCATCACCACCATCATCATCAACATCATCATTAAGAACTTACCCCTGAAACCCTGCATTTCCAGAGTATTTTTCTCTTGAGTTGTATAGTTTCATATAATTTAAAGTGATTTCTCAAAACCAATTATTCGCAAGTTTCATTGGATCGTTTGCTAGGATGATGAGGACATTTTCATTTTCTAATTCTATTATTGTTGTGAATGTGCTCCTGATCTTGCAATTTTTTAAGTAGAGATTACTTAATTGCAGGTATCGTGAACATGGTGTTCAAGACTGGTCCACCATACCAGTTACTCCAGCTGGCAGCACTCAAGTGAAGATCGATAATCTTACTCCAGGAACCACATATGAGTTTCAAGTGATTGGAAAAAATCTATTAGGTGACGGCATGCTTAGCAAAGTCATCACAGTTCGCACTAAGGGTATGCAGCTACATTAATTTTAACTTGTTCTTCAAAAAGTACAGAATAAATTTCATTTGTGTGAAATGGTTTATATGATGGTAATGCCACATCAAAACATATTTTGATGAAATAGAATTTTCAAAATATATAATACTTCATGCTTTGCAAAATTACCTAACCTTCTTACAATTTAACATCAGAATTGTTTATGAAATACAGTGAAACTTCTTTTTAATGTTCCTCTAATGAAACTTCTTTATAATGTTTTCCAGTCCTGACCAAAAGCCCATATACACAGTCTTCCTCATTATAGTATTTTCCCCTATACAGTGTTCAGAATTCATGGTCCCTTAAAAACATTATATATAAGTTTCACTGTATTACATTTTTTAGGATGGATATTTGTTCACAGTCTATTCAAATTGTTATTAGAGATATTTTCATTTTTGTTTATCATCTATTTCAAATAAACTCTTGTGAACATTTTAGAAAATCATAGTTAATGAAGAAAATTTTGTAAATCTTCCAAATGATTATTTATTCACCAGAAAAATATTAAAATGCATAAATCCACTAGAAACTATTAGTTTTGTACTTTCATGATTGTCATCATGAAATCTCCAAATTCATTTCTCCACATGTGAGGGGAGGGGATACGTTAGTAATAATGTCAGTTTTCTGTTCACAAATCTCTAGCATTTGGTATGTAAATTTTTGGTGTGGATCAATATACTAGATCTTATGTATTATGAAATATTGAAGTACCTTCTTTGAAAGAAATGTAATGGAGTTGGGATTAGATTAATTTTCATTTTTTTACGATGTTGGATAAACTGTTACACAATGTTCACAAATGTATATTGTTTGAAAAGAAAGAGACTTAATGAGTAATTTCTTCAAACTGTATCATGTTAAAGACAGGTAATTAAAGATGTGTAGGAAGTGAAATTTTAATAAATTATTAATCGTGATAATAATTCATATAATACTTATTAATGTTTATGTTGTCAGTGGTTGCATTTTCAAAACACTATTATTTTAATTATTTACTTTTAAAAATTAAAATTGTAAATTGTATGAAATTTCAGCATTTGACTTTGATTTAAAATATGGATGTTATTCTGTAATTTTTTTGTAACATGAGAGAGCTTGGGTAATAATACCAAGATAACAGATGTTGGACACCAAAAGTTGTACACTGGCTCCTTCCAGCTAATAACTTTTCACCAGCATTACTTACTCCACAAAGAAATGAATTTAAGTGGTTTTTATTCTTTCATGTACCTAAAAATTTTATCTGTTTTATATTAAAATATTCATACCCCTCAGTTCTCAATTCTGAAACTTACATACTCTTCATTTGAATAATAAATATACGTGCCATACAATTATTTAACACATACCAAATTAATATATTCCTCTAACATTCCTATCATATTTTTAATAAATTTGAGGAATACTTGACAAGTTGAATACTTGGTGTCATAAAGCAACTCATAGTTTTAATCTAGTTGATATCTTATAAATCATTAAGATGAAGTATGTTTATTAATCAAAGAATTTTTTGAAAAGTAAGAATTAAAGTTCAATGACTCAATAATTTTATTGGTGGAGTTGATAATTTTTGCAAATAAGTTTTTCACGGATATTTATCTTTCTTTATATAGTTTGAGACATGTAAAATACTTTGAGTATGCTATTTTATCAAAATATAATGTTAATCTCCCGTGCTCACAGATGCTCTCATGCGCCCGACAGCCATCCCCCCTGCTGGTAAGACTCCACCTTACCATTAATCATGTCCTTGTTTTGCCTTGAGTCCGTGTGTGCTTACCACATGCTTTACTAGTGTTTTGTGGTCCACCAAGTCCTTCTGATGTATATATCTGCATGTGGAATCAGGGGCAGTGCACTTGAGTTTCATACACATTTTATGAAGCAGTATAATGTATTTTAATATGCTGATGTTTCATAGTCACAAAGCATTACCTTCGTAGGAATTGATGTGCCTGGAGTATGTGCATCTGATTGAAACACTTGTAAGCAGGATACTCTTTTAATATTAGAAACTATGTATTGTGTTGTATTTTGTTAAAATCTAAATGATTGCAGAGTACAAAGAAGCAAAGCATGAGTGAGTTAATTCCTATTACATGTGTTTGAAATATTTTAATTTGAAATATGAATATTGTACCAGAAGTCCACAAACAGTTTCAAAGAAATTGAAGGCTTGAACTTTTGAATACTGGATTTTCAAAATGTATATTTTATATTCACATATTCAATATTGTTTGAATACTGTTGAAAAATCCATCCATCAGTAAAATATATTACAATTGTTTATCTCAGAATATTGGAACTCAAAATTCAAAATTAGAGCCCTTTATAACCTGGTTTATTTTTTGTCAGGTGACCTTTCTCATCAGAGTACTTCATAGATTTCATGACTGAATTTTTCTAACATTAAAGATTGGCATTTCCCATTTGTCATTGAGGTACAAGACCAACATTTAAAGTTAGATTATATAAAATATTATAAATAAAACAACTATAAAGTGAGACATCCCATTAGGAATCAAAATAAAAGCACCTAAGATTAGTGTGCTAGTGATGAGCTCTCCAGTTACTCTCAAAATATGTTTGAAAAATGTTGCTTTTAATATATAATTTATTTAAGTGAACCACAAGATAAAGGCAATCTGTATTTTTACAGTGAAACTTCTTGATAACGTTCCTCCATATGTTTTCCTCTATGTTACATCAATGTTTTCCAGTCCCGACCAAAAGCCTAAATACACAATCTTTCTCTATATAGTATACAATCTTTCTCTATATAGTATTTTCCTCTCCACAGTGTTCAGAATTCACGGTCCCTTAAAATACGTTATATAGAAGTTTCACTGTATATGAAATATATTATTTATTTAAAACAAAATAAATAAACATTTAATATTTTCTTATAATTTCTCTTTAGAAGTATCAACTCCAAATTCCAGTAAAACTTAGTTCCAGAAGGCATATCGTTTTGAAGAAGCAAACATAATTTTCATCTATTTTGTAAATATCTGGATAAGATATTTTTAACAATACTTAGAAATATTTTATCTGCTTATTATAATTCCAAAATACTACAAAGAAAATGCCTTCAATTTCAAATATCAATTCTGCTGCCTATCAATATTAATAAATATGAAAATTATTGAAGAATATAATTATTAGGGAAACTGTTTTTTTATGAATCATATTTCCAGTAGTTACATGGAAATATCTCTGTGTAATTTTGTTTTGTTTTCTTTTCTTTTTTATTTCTAGGCTGAATTTGGCACTCCACAAATCCAATTATTATTCTTTATTGTTTACTTGACATAACATACTGACTATCATTTAGTAACATAAGAGTTTATAAATGAAAAATCACCTGTGCATAATAATCAGGTCTCCAAAATGAAACAATGTTATATTACTATTTCTTCTTGTGCAATGTTAATGTATGAAGCATCACAGTGTGGCAAATTGTGCATATGTATTCAGAGTTAGAAAATTATTGAGTAAAAGAATAAAGTTTGAATATTTCATGAAGTTCCATGCACACGATTTCACATTTTTCCATCGTCAAATGAATAATATAAGGCTAATTATTAAACTTATATACAAATGATTTGATACTTTGTTAATAATACATTCAAATATATAAAACTGGAATGAGGTTAATGAAATAGCAGTAGAAAGGTACAAATAAGAATCTGTTTCTGGACTCTCTGAGTTATTTGCATGTAAATTTTATCTATACAAATTAATTGCTATATTTTGTTTTGAATGACATTATTATTTGGGTTTTGCCTTTATTGCATTGTTTTATTTCATTCCAGACATTTTTGATTATAGTCTTATTGTCTTTCCAACTGATTCCACAGGAGTCTCATATTTCCCACCAGTCCTGCGACCAAAAGGTACTGGATACAAAAAGGGTATCCAAATTATTGTTTCTATTTTAAGCTTTCTGTTTCACATAATTAAAAATTGATATTCATTACACGTAATTGATCTGATGACTCCTTCCCTTCATTATTTTCCATAGTATTTTAATTGTTCTTCTTAGTTCCACCTGTATATTTTCTTCATCACTCCGTAATCTACTCTGATATATATGTACTTTGTATTTTTGACTTGTTCATTAAAGAAGAGCTTTGAAAGGTAAGATAGCATGCTGGATTTTCATATTTAAATTGGGTTACACGGCTTACTTTGCATGCATGTACTTTATGGCTTTTAACATATTTTGTCTTGCCTTGTGAATGAATGTATCTTTATATATCTTTATTATGATTGTAACTAATATTAATTGAAGTGAATATGATTGAATTATATTGATTCTCTTTTCATAATCTTGCTTGAGGCATTGAACCAGTTAATCTATGATTGTAACATAATATTACGTATTATTTCTGTCTGAACTACTTTGAAACTAAGTAGCATTTCTTTTTTAAAATACAAAATCTCATAGTAAACTTGTTAGTATAATTCATTTTAATTTTATTTCTTACATTTGTAAATGTTTGTTATTTTAACTATCTGTTCTCTGTAATTCAAATTAGTTGTGACAGAAATCCTAGAAGAACATTTTATTAAATGAATGTCACACTGAAAAGTATATGGCAGTAATTATTTTACATGTAAATTGATTAACATTTAGGTCCCAAGCCAGGCCAGCCCCGCAACCTGACAGTCACCGAGAAAAAAAATGGATTCCTCATCTCATGGGAAGTACCCCTTGAACGGTCCCACCTTGTTCACTACTATACTATCAAGTACCGCACTGATGGTGATTGGAAGACACTCAACAAAGGGCAGATACGACCAGAAGAAACCTCTTATCTAGGTATAAATTTCCTTAATTATTCATGAATTCTTATCTTATTACAATTATCAAATCTTGATGGTAAAAATTAACTGAAGTACTGATTACTTTTAACTTCTCCTTTTTAGTGAAAAATTTAGTGGGAGGACGTACCTACTATTTCCGTGTACTGGCCAACTCACTGAAAAGTTATGAAAGTAGTGATGAAGTGAAGTACCCAGTACCAGCAAGAGTAAAGCATAAGGCTATTACAGCTGGTGTTGTGGGAGGATTTCTTTTCTTTATTGTTGCCATCATCCTCTCGGTTTGTGCAGTCAAGATTTGCAATAAGCGGAAACGTCGGAAACAAGAAAAGGGTTTGTAACCTGACTTCCTTAGCCATCTTTCCACTCACAATTTTTTATTTTCAGTGGACAAAAATTCAAATTTTTTATACTGTCTCATTTTAACTAGTGACATTGACAAAAAGCATATCAGTTCACTCATAACCAAAATTTAGCTTGTTTCATATATAGTACACTGTGACCACCATATTAGGTGGGAGTTTAGGGTTGTTTTATAGATGAGGGCAAAATGTGTTAAGTTAATTTAATAATTTTTAAAGTTGACAGCAAAGTTTGCAATAAAGGGTAAGCACAATTTTTGAAACAGTCTCTACTGCTGCTACACATAAATATAATCTTTCGTTTACATGTTTGTTTTGTTTGTAAATGTATACATTATTTACTTTTGTTTACTGCTTTTGCATTGCAACTGGGATATTTAGTAGAGTAGGCTCATAACATCAACAAATCTGACTATGATTTTAAAATGTTTAACTGTTTCTTTTGTGGTAGCCCCACATCTCTTCACACTAATTGTATATACTACAATACTGTCTTTGGGGAGATTTCTTGCTTCATTCTATTGATGTGAGAAATCCATTTCTTTTGACCTTCCTTTTCTCTAGCATCCTTTGTTTTAAGCCTTTTTCTTCTTTACTTCTTTGCAAATCCCTTTATGTGTCTCCTGTGAGATAGCATAGAAATCTCATATGCATGATCTTCAGTCTATACCAGCCCCATCTTTTTTAGTCTAAACATCCGATACATACATTCTGATATGTTAGTTTTTAAAATCATATTATGTTTTCTTAATTTAATATCTTGAGTCATGTCCCTTCTGAAATGTCATTTGATTTGTCCTTTTGTTCTGTTGTATTTCTTGATTTTCTTTTCTATGTCCTCTGATCTGTCGCCTTGGCTAAATAAACTTTGGATATTCTTGTTTTATTTGTCCATTTAATGACAATTTTTACTTTTCTCATTTCTTTTCCTTGATATGCCCTTGATGTTGTCTTGCTTTTTTTATGATATGTTTCAGTGCTGTTTTGTACAATTCATTTGCTGCAATTTGAAGGTCATCTTCTGATACCAACTACATTATCTGTGTAGTGGTAATGTTTGGTTCTATCTTTTACTGAGATTTATTTCCTTCTTGATTGTTAGTTTCCATTCCTTGATGATATAGTTGACATATATATTGAATAGGCATGATGACAGACTGCATCCCTGTCGTAGTCCTCTGTTTGTTGTGAAAGATTTTGACACGTTCCCATTATTCATTTATACTCATCTATGAATCAGCATAGAGAATTTTAATTCCTTTTCTTATTTGTGTAGGTATATTTTCTTCTTCCAGTATTTCCCATATTAATTCTCTATTTATTCTGTCATGTGCTTTTTCAACGGCAATGAACAATAGGTAAGTTGGCAAATTCACTTCATTGTATCAGTCCAGGATTGTTTGATTAGTGAATATGGCATCTTTTGTGCTCCTTCCTTTTCTGAATCCATTTTATTCCTCTCCCAGTAATGTCTCACTACATTCATTCTGTTGCTTAAGATGTTGGCAAAGAGTTTTCATACTGTAGGTAGAAGGGTTATCTCTGTATAGTTATTGCAGTCTGTTTTCAATCCTTTCTTGTGCACATTTATTATTGTGTCAGTCTGCCATTCTTTTGAGGAAATGTATGCTCGTCAAACTTTGTTGAAAAGTTCTAACATGATGTATACAGGTTCTTTAGCCCTATATTTTATTAGTTTCATAGCAATTGTATCTACTCCTGGTCTTTTCCTGTTCTTAGGTTTTATTGCATGTCTACCTTTGAGTTTGTCATTTCATCAATAAACCATATTGATGTATAGTGCTCTATGCACATCCCAGAAAACAAATATTTGTGCAAATGTTGACCCTTGTGTCAGCTCTGAGCATTTTTATGATATTAAAATCAATCCTTTGAGGACTTGTGTCCCTCTTCAGCGATTTCACAAATTTCTGCCAATCATCTCTTTTAATTTGCCTTCTTCTTCTGCTCTACATCTCTTATGTTCTTTGTATTTACTTACTATCTGGTTCTTTTGATTCAATACATCAATAAATTGGACAATGATTGACTATTTGACAACGATCATTAACAAATTTGACTCTGATATTGGAATATTTACTTACTCAACAGTTTTTATACAGACAGTTGTCATTCATGGTGTACCATATAGCACGATTCATTGGAGCCCTCAAACTTCAACTTCTGGGCATCAACAATGGTACATTTAAGTTTCTTTCATAGCATTTAGTTTTGACAGTGATAAAACAAGTATTGTGAGCCAGCATAAATTATCTGATGTCATCATTTTGCATTTGTACTAATTCAAATCAAACAGTATATGTTTATTGATTTTTTAAATGTGAAAATCATTTAAATGTTCTTAATATTTTTTATTAGGAATCACTGAACGGTCTTATAAAATATTGCACAATTTTATAATTTGGTAGCCTAACCCTGCTATTGGTGAGGTTCCAATGTGATGTGAGTAGATGCAATGTATCTGGAAGATTCAAACTCTCTCAATCTCTTCTTGCCAAAAGGTCTAAAATTTAAGAAAGAGCAATGAGAAATCACACTAGACTTTTATTTAATCATTTTGTCTTCTATGAGCCAAAATATACTTTTTTTTGGAATATGTTTTGAAAGTTCAAATGCCTTTCAAACTTTTGAAATTAAGCCTCTATGAAAATTAACCTTTGAAACATAAAGAACCTTAAAATCACGAAAATATGAAAAATTAGAATAAAGCAAATGAGAAAAAGAAGTACAGAAACCAAAAAAACTAAATTCTACATGCGTTCATCATAAAAAGAGAATTGTTTTTACATACATTCTTACAATGTTCAAAGGTAAATATTTTGCAAAAGGTTACAAAAAACATTTTGTCAATCTTAGCTGTAAATTAACGGTAATGGTTCTGACAATCCATTAAACACTTATGTTAAGTACAAAAGATGTCAGTACATAATGATTTTGATTTTAATATAACATAATCCAATCATTGTGACAGACTATGATTGACTAGTTAGAGTCTATGATTGACTTGTTAGAGACCCTCCAAACATGTATTTTCATAAAAATCTTGACATCACATATATGAGGAGTGTTCATGCAGAAACCTACATGTCCATTGGAAAAAAAAATTGAGTTAACATTGTGGTGATACTAATGATCATCAACCGTATCTTCTTCCCTGATGTGGAGGATCAAAAGCAAATATATCCTAATATTTTTCTTGAAAACATACAAGGTTCAGGCAAAATCTAATATGTCCACAATGTTGTTGCAAGCAATAAATAACAAGTCCTTGTAACCAATAAGATGTGAAGATTCACAATCCTGTGACTCCTCATGCCGTGTGGTTCATTCTGTCTGTAACATCTTCACAACATCATCTTATTTCATTTATGAGAAAATTAGCATCTTAAGGACACAAAAACTTGGAGTAGTATGAGCAAGAACAGAACATCAGAAATGTGATGCCAATCATCATCATCATCACAAACAATGGGAAGAAGATTCATACAGTCAAAGCTCACGCCACAGCAATATTTCAAATTTAAAGTTCCTGCTTTGTCACTATGGAAATGTGTTTTTTTTTAACAAATGTGGTTCAATTTAACCTTCAGCTACTCCTGACCTGGAATAATATTCATTTGTTCTTAATGGACCAATAACTGAAAATCAAACTGTAATGGTTAGCCAAGAACTGAAAGACAATTGTGATAGTTAAGAGGATGATAAATGGCTGGCACACATAGATTTTAATTTCTTTTAAGTTCTTGGTAATTTGATCTTGTAATCTTGTTCTTTGTAATTTATTTATAGGCTAAAAAGTGGGTACATTAGCAACAGACATTGTTGTAGTAGTTTTGTCTGTTTTGAAAAATAAAATAATTGCCTACAAACTGTAGTAAAATAATTTATCTCAATCAAATTTGATGATAATAGTGGCCCTATTTTATGCAAAAGCAAACATACCCACAGGTGCTTCACACAAAAGCAAACATATTCAAATTTTCCTAGCAAAAGCAAACACAAACTTTTAACCTGAAATACTGTCATAATCATAAATAACTGATTTGAGAGCAGTATACATAGACTATTGTAACAATACTGGTAAGCAGTACAGTATATTAAGTTGTTTGAAAAGGCCATAACTTGTCAATAATCAGTTTTTCTCCATTTTGAAAAAATCTTATTTGATGGACATTATTTTCATGAACTCAAATCTTCTCTTGTATACTAGTATACAAGAAAGTAAAAGTAATAATCTACATATTTATTACAATGAAGTTCTTACATTAGAAAAACTTTAAACATAAACCCCAACATTTTTTTTTCAATGTTGTTTTCATGTTAAATTGTTGACAAAGCGAGCACCACCTTGTTTCAAATGATCAATTATATCATCAATTTTGTGTCTGGCACATCTACTACCTCTTATAATCTGGCTTGTTTCTTTTGGATAATAATGAACTTTAATATGTTTTAATTGAGTTGTATCTCACTTATCTGTCAGTCACTCTCTGTCAATATCCAATATGAAAATATGAAATTTGCATTGACTTACAGTCAGTAAAAACAACTGAAGGAAAGTGACAACCCTCCTCCAATCACCTAGAAATGTTTCAAATGTTGAAGATGAATCTCATTGTTACCCCACTGAGTGCAGGGTTAAACTTAGTTATTTTTGCAATGTATTTAAAAGAATCACAAAAATGTGAATTTTTAATGAGGTTTTTGTTTGTTTGCTATTGTAGCATACAATATGGTTGCCTGCAGAGTGACTGATGCACGGAATGGTGGGCAACCACCAGGGGCCAGCCAAGTGCCTTTGAAAAAGTAAGTTTGCTTATGTGATAAACTTGTGTTCAAATAAATACTTCTTAGTTTGTATTTTTGTATTGCAGTGTCACACACTAAGCATTTCAAGTGTTGGCACTTATAAAAAGTATTGTTTTTCTGGTGTTAATGTAGGCTACATTCATAGAGTTCCTATACTAAAAATTAATTTTGTACCTCTGTATGCAGTAGTTTTATTAACAGCTAATCAGAGTGTGGATGGCTACGTACGTTTCACTTATGTAGAATGTTTCTTCTTTCATGTAGGAATCCTGAAACACAAATTTCCTTTTAGATAAAGAATGTCCATGATTTTAAGGAATATTGCTTATCCAGTATTTTCTTGATAAAACACATAACTATAAATACTAGCAAGTGGTTGTCTTTTATATTGCATCACAGTCATCAAGAGTTTTACTTACTTTCACTTCTGGGTGTGTTTCATTGGACTATCTTTATCTTACATTTTTACATTAGAGTGTGGAGATTTCTCTGTGAATGTAGCAACAGACAATTGAATAAGTAAACCACCAAATTATAGCATCTAAATCATACAAACAGTTGGTTTCTACTCCTTGGAGAGAGACTGCTTGTGCCTGCACTGAACAGCATTTATCTCTCCCCCGTATAGGAATGTTGATTCGGACAGCAAGCACGAGCCCGCTTAATTAAAACGAATCTGGACAAGACTGTTGATAGAAACAGTAAGAGCCACAACACGTTTTCAAGTCCTCTCTTCCTTTGTTTGGCACTGAAGCGAGTGTTTAAGGGGGGACTGCGCTAGATTTTGCAGAGGCTAACTGCTTCGGTGTCTGTGGCACATGGAAACAAGACAGGCGACATTTTATAGTAATTGGTATACATAGAACCATTCTCAATTTTCATTCTTCATTCTCTAACATTAACACACTCGAAAATGCACACATCTATATTTATTTCTCTAATAGGATTGTTTTGGGTTTCTTGTGGCAAAAATTAGTAATGTACCTTTAATTTCTCAATTATATGTCTGACATTGAATCCATTACTCTTTTTTATGGTTGCTCACTTAGAAATATATTTCTGATAGATTGATTACGCATTCTTTACTTGTGTCTCTTTTTCACAAGCAATTTAAAAATTGTTTTCTCTTTGGCAAAAGATGGTAACTATCTTACAGATCATGTAATACTTGTTGATAAGGCTTACAACCAAAAAGTGTAATGGTGGGATGCGTGATATAAACAAAACCCCAAAATGAGGAAACTAAATAACTGCCTGTTTTGTTTCCATTTGGAGAGATTTAATACTATTTTAAAATTTCTTGTTGAATACCCAATAATCTACTTTGAGAAATAAGTGCATTAATAATTAAAATGTGGTATTAATTTATATTGGATTCCACATTATTACATACCATTTTAAATATTAATAGAATGGACTGTCTGTTATGTGTCAGGGGCTAACTCTTTTATTGAAAGCTGGTGATAAAAAAAGACAATGTATGTGTCTACCAGTTTTCAGTTGCCCCCTTAAACAGTCGCAGTTCTAGACTATGCCAGTCTACCTCAACAATATTGAGCAGCAAAGAAAGAATTTATTTTTGTTCAAAATGCCTTCTTCTTGAAAAACGTACATCAACTTTCATTAAAACTTGCATAATAACATACAACAGTTGCAGGTATCCAAAAGTACATCAATAAGAAAGGTAAAACTTTACCTTGCTTTATTCTTTAATGTTCAGTTTGAAATACTTTTATGTTTAATAGCCATCATCACCTGTCTTCTGCCCTCATGCTCTTAAATTATCTTGAGAAAGTTATATCTTGCTTTATCATGTAGGAACCTTATGGTAGCTCAATGTTGTTCTGAGGCTAGAGGCTCTCTCTCTGGGGTCTTGTTTGTGTTCTGGAACTAGGTTCTAGGAATACTAGACTGTGTCCTGTGTAGTTTATGCTTGGGAGCGGAACAAAAAGTGAGGAGATTGAACATATGAGCAGTTGTCTCACTGCACAGCTTAACTATTTTTATTTGAAGATGAAAATAGTAACTTTCAATGAACTAACTGGTTCAAAGAACATTGTTAAGTTGTCCTTGATTGATATTAATACATTTGATTAATCAAAAAACAAAAATGAATGGTAAGTTAGTTACCCAATTGCCCAAATATCAAAATTTGGTAGGCAAATGAAAATTAACTATGGGGAAAAAATATTTACATATTTTCCCAAAGACAACTTGTTATCGTATTGAATCAATCTCCTTAAAACAATTCAAGCTTGTAAATAGTAATTCTTCATTTGAAAGTGAAATTGCAATGGGATATAATTATATTGTATACTTTGTTTCTAAAAGTATACTCATTAATTCATGGATGTCTTCTTCAGTGCTAGGAATTGCTTGCAATTTACCTTTATGCCTGTGGAATATACATTTTCATATTGTGCTGCTATATTTTTATTTTATTTTTCTGTAGATGCAAACAGAAACCTTCTCTTGCCTGCTCATTAATGGGGATACCAGTTTCAGTGTTCAATTACTTCATTACTTTTTTCAAACTCTGTAAGTTAATTATATGAAACAAATGTTTATATCCTCTTCTTTATCTGTTTCCAACGTGCTGGCCAACCAGGAGGAAAAAAGGTGAAGGGTTTGGAAGCAACTGTTGACACAATGCAGCACGCTCTCACTTCACTTACATGTATACATACAGACACTTGTGTTGTGCACTTGTTGAGAGCATGCTGGGTCATGCATGCATCAAGCATGGTCCAAGGCAGTGAGCAGATGTGTACAGGCATGTTCAAGCCATGCTTGAGCTCTATCATACTGCCACATATTGTGAGACATGTTTAAATGAGCCTACAATTTAGTATAATGAGGATGTTCATTATCCTATTGACTATTTGTTAAAAAATTAAATAAGTAAATATTATATTGAGGAGGACAATGTTTTCCAAATTTTAAAAATGTATTCTTGATACAATGCATTGAGAAAGGTTATTTTCCTTTCCATTTATTCATTTTTTTGGAAAGTTTATTCAAAATTAGTTTTTGAAAATACATTTCCTCCCTTCATTTCAATGACAGAAAATCTTTCTCTCTGATTGGCTCATCCTGCACAACTTGGCTGGATCTCAGCCATGGGCACAAGTGAACTTGTATACATGATATGACAAATTGTCCAGGTCTGCTCTGATACCACCAGCCATTTGCCTGCTCCTTTGATCAAGCTCACTGATGTGCTGTGTTCATTTCTACAGCGGTGTCATTTTCTTGTCTCCACTTTTGTGTTGTGGTAGATGTGCACAAAATATTTGATGTCTTTATTGCTTTATTTAGTCTGCTGTGTTAAAATCTTGTTGTCACTGTCCACTGCATCATCAGTAAATGAAGATTCATAATAATGCCCAAATTACTCTAATGGGTATTTGTTTAATATTTTTTGAAAATAAAAAGTAAGAATTGCATTACAGAAAATGTGGATAGATTATCAATGTGGTTCTGGTTATTTTCTTTGCTTGTTTATTATTGTTGTTTTCTCACCACAAACTGGCTCAGGAAGGTTGCAAGTTCATAAGTTTATTTAGTAACAAATAAAAATCTGTGGTCTTTGGTGGACAGGTTTTTACTTTATGTGTTTATGGAATATAAAGTTATTCTTACTGTTAATGTTTTGATCAAAGTTTCAGTGTGTGCTTGATGGAAATCTATAGAAACAATTTCTCTAAATAACCCCAATTAACTAGGCATTTTAATATTAGTAATATCATGCTCTTAAAGGGATATTACATTGTCTAACCCCGTGCCTGAATGATTTGAGTGTATTTGCATAATTGGGTTCAATGTTAATAGAATAATACTAAGAGTAGATTTCCAGTTCTTATTAGCTAGCTTCCTTACAACTACATATTCCATGTGTTATTATACTTGTTAAATAATAATATCGATAGAAGGAATGGCAAAGTTGATAAAATAGTCCTTGTGTTGACCACCTGACAAAAAATATGCCTATTAAGCTTGGTACCAGCTTGCTTCTTTGGTGCATATTGAAGAAGTTCTAACATTGTCTCACAGTACTCCATATCAGTTAGTATGTAGAAATTGTAGCCCATTTGTGATTAGTGAAATAGCTGTACAAAGAACAGTACTGAGTTGTAGTTTTTAGAATCCGATTAGTCCTTAATGTGCTACTGCTTGCGCATTCAGCTTGCCTCTTCCTGTGCTGGTTGTGGAAAATTGCATGCTAATTGTTGTGGGTGCGCTAATATGTTTTGTTTACGTTGCCACAACTCGTGTCTAATGATTGTTACACATCTTCTCTGCAGACTTAGACAGAGCAGAATACCAAGTGTGACGCTCCTAGGTGCAGCCCTAAAACGCACGCGTACTCGCCTAGCTAGCTGGTTCAATGACGACACCGATGCGACGGCTGCGGGCTCCGCGGCGGACGGCCGCGGCGGG